GTTGCGTTCTCACTGCTGCGTAGGGTCCCTGGGAAACGCAGCGCAACGGCGGACCTCCGCTTCGGCTCCCATCTCTGGGGCACAGGGGCTCAGTGCTCAGCTTTAATGGCCGGCTCCTGCTCTGCCCCACACATAAGGGCTCTCTTTTCTTAAGGGAAACGCAGCGCAACGGCGGACCTCCGCTTCGGCTCCCATCTCTGGGGCACAGGGGCTCGCTCAGTGCTCAGCTTTAATGGCCGGCTCCTGCTCTGCCCCACACATAAGGGCTCTCTTTTCTTTTTCGTTTTTTAATTTTGTATGAAACAGTCTCGCTATGTAGTGCAGGCTGGCCTTGAACTCACTATGTAGCCCAGGCTGGGTTCATACTCACAGCGATCCTCCTGCCTCAGCCTCCAAGTGCTGGGATTACAGGCTGTGCACCACTGTGTCCAGCTCCTCTTATTCTGACATAGTCTCTGGCTTTGGATGGAAAATGACCTTCTGGTGCCCCAGAATTTAGCCACGTGCCAGCACCTCTGAGGCCTGGGCATCTGGGTGGTTGGCACAATCCTTTCCTCCAGTGAAGACGCAGCTGGGCTCTACTCCGATTTGCTCCCACTGGTAGGGCCAGAGCCTTCCCACTGCCCCCACCCCACGCCCGCCCGCAGGAGTGCCGGCTCTCTGGGCTGTCGGGAAGCCCCTGCCCTTCTTCTGTCTGCCCACTAGGGGGAGCCACAAAGGGTGGGGCTGTGGCCCTGACTCGGGCCCTTAAGGGACACGAATGAAAAAGAGGAGGAGTAAGGAGGTTGGAAAGCTGGAAAGACAGGAAGGAAACAGGATGGAAGAAGGGAGGGAAGGAAGGGCGAAGAAGCAGCTGCCCAGGGCCCTGCTCCCTGCTGCTGGAGCCCTGGTTCTTGGGAAGCTCTGCGTGCCGTGGAAAGGAACAATTAAAGCCCGTGACTTCCACCCTTTTCTTTTTGGTACTGCGGATGAAACCTAGGCCCTCCAGCCCTGATAAGCTTCTTTCTCAACAGCTCTGCTTCAGGACAGAATCTTCCAAAGAAAGGCCCAGAGCTCGGGGCCTGAGTGAGGGGCAGCACGGTCCCTGGCTGCGGGCAGAGGCAAGGCCTGGGTGGGAGGGCCCTGGAGGACGCCCTGCCCCGGGATGCCAGACCCCTGCCCCAGGAGCATGGTGTCTGCTTCTTGCTGTGCCCACAGCTCCCTGCCCATCTCCCCTTTTGCAGCAAGCAGGGGCGGTGCCCAGGGACACTGGCCAGTGCCAGACGCCACCAGGGGCTCTGGGCAGAGCAGGAGCACAGAGGGGCTCTCGCAGGCATCGTGTGGACCTCCTGAGGGTGGGCAGGCGAGGGCCGGGGCCCGGGAGACCTAGTGCTGGGCTCCGTGCCGGGCACAGGTCCCAGACCCCGTGTCAGCCAGAGCCCAGAGGGGCCCGGGCAGGTCAAGTGCGGGCGAACTTGCCCCCTCTGCCTCGCCAGCCTGGTGCCAGCCTTGGCACCCCCCACGAGGACTGGCACGTAAGGAAGTCACGCTCTCTGGTCTTTACTCCACGTGGGCATCCCATCCTCAGCCTGGACTGTGGGTTCCTTAAACCCTCGGGAATGGCAGCCTCATTACCTCACAAGGAACCCTGCTCTGGCCTGCAGCTCTGATAACAAGAGCCAACGCTTTTTCTAGCTTCTTCCAAAGGGCACTGTGCCTAGGGTTCCATGAGACACAGCATCACCACCGCCTGCCTGCACTCTGCCCTTGACATGGACCAGGCTCAGCGCCTTCGAGAGCCTCTAAAGTCACGTGGTGGACACCAGGGCTGAAACGCAGCGTGGTCCTTCAGTAGCAACAAGCACATGCAGCACCCGGACATTGGTTTCTCAGCGCCACTGTTCAAATGTAAGGGAGCCACACACTCTGGAGAAATGGCTGAAGCTGGTACAGGGGCAAGATAAGTTCCTGGAGCATCCCGGAGAGTCCCAAACCGAGCAAACCAGGCTCCGAAGGACAGGCCAGCTGGGCGTGGAGGCACAGGCCTAACCCCAGCCTCTCCGGGGAGGCCTCTCCTGTCTCTCTGGGAGGCTGAGGCAGGAGAATCACACGTTCGAGCCCAGCTTGACCAACTTAGCAAGATTGTTTCAAAATGAAAAATAAAGAAAGGCTGGGGATGCGGCTGCACATTAGGCCTGGGTCCACTCTCCAGGACCCGGGGGGAACAAGAGGGTCACGGCAGGCAGACAAAGGCCAGCAGCCAGAGCAAAACTGGAGCGGTCCAAACCATGAGACCGACCCGGTTGAACTGCATTACGCCCGAAGGCAGAAGGCACAGACGCAGGAGTCCAGGAGTCCAGAAGTGAATGATGGCAGATGGATCCCGGACACTAAGATGTGCCGTCTAGGAGGTGGCCTGGTCCCATCCCTTACTCAGGATGGGGCCCACTTGCTTCCAAGGAACAGAGGGCCGAGAGGGGAAAGGCAAACTTGCCAGCAGGAAAAGCCCTGTGGACTCCACCCGCCCATCACCAAGGCCAACCGGCAGGGCGTGGCTCAGAGGCAGACGGTGGGTGGGCACCTGGGAGGCCCCAGGTTGCATCACCAGCACCCCCGAAAAGAGCTTTATTTAGGGCTGGGGATTTGGCTCAGTGGTGCCGCCACCTGCCTCGCAAGCGCCAAGGTCCTGAGTTCAATCCCCTAATACAGTTTTTAAAATCAGCTACTCGGGAGGCTGAGTAGAGAACTTGTGAGTGTGAGGCCAGCCTGGGCTACGCGGTGAGATCCTGTCTAAAAAAAGAGCAAGAAACCACCAGCGGCAGGTCACGTGGACTCCGTGGGCACACGGCATCGTGGGTGAGGACACTCTGTCTACCTCTGAGGTTTTTGTCCCCGAAGCCCCATGGTCCCGTGTAGTCACGAGGAAAACATCGGATGCACCCAACCTGAGGGGTAGCCTGGGAGCCTTGACCCAACGCCTCGAAACTGCCCACATCAGGGGCTGGGGATTTGGCTCAGTGGTTCCACTTTCTGCCTCTGAAGTGCAAAGTCCAGAGTTCTATGCCCAGTACCAAAAAACAAACAAGCAAACAAAAACAATTGTCCACATCAGGAAAAACAAGGAAAGGCTGAGAAAGTCACAGAGCAGAGAAGATTGAGACACAGCATCTAATGCAGTGTGGGATCCCAGACTGGATCACAGAACAGAAAAGGGCACGCCTGTAATCCCAGGAGGCTGAGGCAGGAGGATCACTGGGAGTTCGAGGCCAGCCTGGGCTACATAGCAGGACCCTGTGTCAGGAAAACATAAAAAAGAAAAAGAAAGGGCACTTGTGGAAAATGGAAACCAAAACCTGAATAAAGCCTGCATTTCAGTTCATGGTCCCATGTGAGTGAGCTCTGGTGTCCTCCTCACAACAGGTGTGCCAAAGTCTTGAAAGAGGAGAAAGGAGGACATTGTACGAGGGGTGTACAGACCTCCCTGTCCCACCTCTGCAGTTTTCCTGTAAATCTAAAACTATTCAAAAATAAAAAGTGGGGCTGAAGCAGAGCTCAGAGGTGCAGCACTGGCCTGTGGACGAGGTCCTAGGTTCGATCCCCAGCACCACAGAGAGAGTCGTTAAGACTTCTCCATGGCCCGAGCTCCTCTCCATCTGCCTGCCTCTGCTCTCGGAAGCCCCTCACCTGTTCTCCTTACCCCACCACCTTCTTTTGAGGGTGCTGGAAGCTGCCACAACTCCCAACTGTTTCCAGGCCCTTCCGCTGTCTGGTGAGACTTGGATTTTTTCAAGGACCAATGGTCTCCTCTGCATCGATCCCTCCCTCCCAGAAGTTGCTACTTCCTCTTAGGCACCCATGGGATCCCAAATTGGTCCAATCAGACAGAATCCTAGGCCTCTGAGAACAGTGCCGCTTTTCTCCCATGTTGGGTATGAAGAGCCCTTAGAAGATTAGGAGGCAGCTAACACCAAGGACCAGAGTGAAGAAAGAAAGAAAGAACTGGATTTCAGTGACACCAACGAGCCACCTGATCAAGCCTTACCTGAAGCCTACCTTATTTCTTTACTTATAAGAAGTGTGGTAGGGTGAAAAATAGTCCCCCCAAAGTGCACCTATGCCATGGTCACTGGAACTTATTAATGTTACATGATTTTTTTAAAAAGTGATTTAGGGATGTCTTCATTTTATTTTATTAATTTATTTATTTAAGACAAATTTATTTGTTATGTAGTTCAGGCTGGCTTCAAACTCATGATGATCCTCCTGCCTCAGCCTCCTGAATGCTGGGATTATAGGCATGTGCCACCACACCTGGCTTGAAGTGTCTTTGAAAATGTCATTTGCAGGATATGGGACATTATATGGGTGGGTGGGACCCAAATATACTCCCATGCTTTAAGAAGGGAGGCAGAGGGAGGTGTGAGAAGGACACAGAACGGGTAAGGGACCACTACCATTCTGGAGGCAGAGAACTGAACGACATGACCACAGTCAGAGTACACTAATGGCCACCCAGAGCCAGAGAAGCGAGGGACAGTTCTCCCCTGAGACCTGGACGGAGCCCAGCTGTGTGACACCGGGCCCTTGGGCTCGTGACACCATTTAGATCTCTGACCTGCAGGGGTGTGGAAGAACACACTGCTGTTGTTCCCTGTCATCCCATTTGTGATCATTTGTTGCAGGGCCATAAGAAACAAATAGCAGAACTAACATCTCTTCAATAGTTAAGACAGTTCAGAGCTGAGACTGTGTTACTGCAGCCGAAAGCGGCCCGCTACACAGCCCCTCCGGCCCTGGTCACTCTCGGGGTGAACAGAATTCTGGGAAAGGCCAGTTCCAGGGGCGGCAGCTGGGGATGCTCCCGGTCCAGGGGGGCCGGGGCCGGGAGGGCACCGTGCCTCAGCTCCACCCGAGGCAGGAGAGGAGCTGGGGAGGAAGGCTCCGGAGATGCGCAGGTCCCAGCACCCATCAGCCCCGAGCGTCCCAGCACAGCCCTGTGCCGGGACCGTGACTCAGCAGGGAGGAAGGCACAGGAGGGAGCGAGACCTGCCGTGGCGCCCACGCCCGAGGAATAAGCTGTCCACAGCCCTCCCGAATGGATACTGCAGAGTGTACAGGAAGGGGGACCCTCAGGGGTCCAGTCTTGCACCGGGCATGGGCCCTTGAGGCCGGGGCCACAGGCAGAGAGGCCGGCAGTGGTGGCCTGCGCTTGGGGACGTCGCAGCCACACGGAGCTGTCAGGCGGCTGGGCACAGAGCCGAGCCCCTCACGCGGGGGGCTCCCCCAGCTTGCTGGCAGCATTCGTGACCCGCTCGATCTCCCGGAGGTTGCGGAGACGGGCACTGAGGCTGCTGATCTCCTCCACGTGGGCCTGGGGCACCCAGCCCTTCTCGCCATCGGCCAGGCGGACCCCCTGGAGCCAGCCTGGGGACACAGCCGAGGGCGGCCTCAGTGGCACCAGGCCTGGTGACCTCACGACAGCCTCACCCTGCCTTCAGAGATGAACTTCTGACCGGTCTTTCCCGACTTCTCTGAGAAGGGTGTCCCCGCTCCATCCTACAGTCTGTGCAGGAAGTCCCCCCTGTCTAACTGGATTCCTGCATGCTGTGGCCTTTCCCTGGGGTGGCTTTGCCATGGAGCCGCCTCCCAGGAAGCCCGGCTCACCGTCACTGGTCCGCATCCGTACCGCAAGGATGTCCGTCTTCTCCAGGGTCAGCTCATCGGGCTGCAAGGCCTTGTATGTCCTGACACACTGAACCTGGGCGCGGTCTGCCGCCACAGGGAGGGTCAGGTGGTCCCGCGTCCACCTGCTTCCCGGCCCCGCCCACCCGAAGCACAGCCCAGGGCTCTCCCTTCCTGGCTCAGATGTTGCTCTTGACCTCCGGCCCATGTCCGACTGCCCCCAGCTCCGCTCATGAATGGGTGCCCTGACACCATCTGGTGCTCCCTCCTGCATATCCTCAACTCGCATTCCAGCCACGCGACTCCACAGTTTCAAACCCTCCAGCGCCTCCCACTCTAAAGTCCTTCCCAGGCCTGCAAGGCCCTGCAAGGTCTGGCGTTGTCCCCTTACCAGCCTCATCCTCTCCTTCCTCCTCTGTCCTGCACATGCAGCTCCAGCCACGCTGGTCTCCTTGCTGTTCCCCAAACCACCCCAATGCCCTCCTGCCTCAGGGCCTTTGCACTGGCAGCTCTTTCCGCTAGAAGTACTCTCTAGAGCTGTCCTTGGCTGCCTCACCTCATCCTTTAGGGTCAAGGGTTACTTGCCAGGGGACTTTGCTGACAGCTGTCCAGAGTAGTGGCCTCACCCCCAGATTCAGTGGGGCTCTCAGGCCAAGCCAGAGAAACTGCCCCATGCTAGGCCCTCAGCTCTTTCCATGAGACAGGAAATGTAGGGAGCAGGGGTGGCAGGCTACTACCTTCCCCCTCACCGATGACCTCCTTGTCCTCCCGGCTGCTGGAGGGGCACAGGGCTGAGATCCATCGCTGCTTCTCACTTCTGGGGAGGGAGAGACCTCGCTGTCACAATGGGCTCAGCACAGCTCTCCACCATGGGGCTGGGGCTGGGGCCGGGGACTGGGGCCGGGGACTGGGAATGAGGTGTGGGCCCCAGGCCCTGGAAGGTCTGCTCCCCACCACGGGCCCAACCCTGGGGTCCCACCCAGCCCTGAGCGCAGGACCTGAAGCCAGAGGTAAAGAGGCCCAGGGGCTGACGCCAGGAGGGGCCCAGAGGCAGGGAGGGCCAGACTCTTTGGCACCTCTTGCCAGGGTGTACACACTGCTCTGCCCCCTGGCCTCGCTGTCCGCCCAGGCACTGGGGGGTCCCGCCTCCCAGCGCAGCCCGACTCACTCCGTGCGGGCCCGCAGCAGGAACTGGTGCTTGGCGTGCTGCCTGGGGAGCAGCTGCAGGAGGAACACGTGGCCAGGGATGCCCTGCAACTTCAGGCTCAGGTCCCGGACCTGCAGCTCCGCCATCTTGGCGTGGATGAAGACGGCAAACTTCCCCAGCCTGGGGACGGGGAGGGCGGGTCAGCCGGGTCCAGCGAGGTGAAGGAGGGAGGAGAAGTGGTGCCCTCCAGCAGCCTCCCCAGGGAACGCGGCTGCACAGGGCGTCATAGCCTGAGAAGCCAGCAAGGTCCCCACGAGGGGACGGAGCCCCACCCCCGCTGGTCCTGCTGGAAGCGGAGGTGACTCTGGATTTCGTCCTCCTCCCTGTCCCCAGAGTCCACTCACCTGAGGCTCCCGCCACCTCCCGAGCTCCTGCGCGCACACAGAGGACAGCTTCCAGTGCCTGCCTCTCTAGCCCACCCCAAGCCGGCAGCAGCACCGCGTCACTCCTCGGCCTTTCTCCGTGCTCCCCGCGAGCCTCACGTGAGTCCCACCTCTCTACTCTTGGCGCCCAACAGCCCCGTTTCCCTCTGCTGCCCTTCTCTGCAAGTCTGGCTGCCCTAGGCTTTGTCGCTCCCCAGACACGCTCTTCTGTGACTTTGCTGCAGTCCCTCCTCCAAACCACCTCTCTACCTGGAAAGCTCCTGCTTGTCCTTTAAAACCCAAACGTTCCTTGCATGGTGAAGCCTTACGGATTCCCACACTAGGGGAAACCTGTGCACCGTTCCATGAAAACCCCAGCAGTCCGGGCAGTCACGGCTGTGACGGAGCGAGGGGTCTCCCTGTGTGGCGTCTCTTTTGAAGACGGGAGGCAGGGCAGTGCAGTGGGAAGAGCCTGGAGCCGGGCAGCAGACAGAGCTGGCCACCTCCCGGCTTCTTGTGTCCCGGGCTCCCTGCCCTCAGGACTAGCAAGCGAGTCTCCTTCCTAGCGAGGGAGCTGAGGGCTGAGGGGGACAGGCCCTGCGGCTGGCACCGAGCGCTGTGGAGCCTGGACTCGGCTGCGCACCCTCTCCGCTCTCACCGGCCAAGCTCAGAGCACGGCCGGACCTCCACGCCCCCCTGGAAAGCAGGCCAGCCCGGGGGAGCCTCCGGGGTTCAGCTGCCCCGGCAGCCCCACGGGTGGCGAGCCCCGCGGTGGAGAAGGAAGCCCGGTTCCCGTTCCCCCAGCCACCCGACTCACTCCTTCCGCCGGGACAGCAGCAGGCAATCATTGAACAGGTGCAGGTAGACGGCTTTGCTGGACAGCTTCAGCTTGGCAGGCGGCGCCGCGGGCAGTGGTGCCAGCTCCACCAGCTCCCCGTGCCGGACCAGCCAGCGGGCCTGAGAGATCAGTGGGAAGATCTGGGGAGGAGGAGCAGGTAAGGGCAGGGGGGTGAGGCCCACGGGTTCTTGGCGGGGAGCACAGGGTCCGGCTGGGGCGTGGGTGTGAAGGGTTGGCCAGGGGAGGAGGGAGCGAGGGTGGCCCGTGTACCCGAACCACCAGCTGGGCACACACCCTGCCCTCAAAGTGGATCTTCTTGCTCAGGTGGATGAGTTCTTCCGTCCTCTTCATGGACTGCACACTGGCGTTGCACTCCTGCACCAGCTGGGGGGACCAGGGAGGTCACTCGCAGCCCCCCAGCCCCCGAGTTGCCCTGGGGAGCCTTTGGGAGCCCAGCAGCCCCACCCAGACAAGCTCACCTCCTTGAGCGCATTGAAGGCCTTGGTGGCCATGTCTTCGTCCTGGGAGCCCTGCGCAGTCCGCTTCAGGATGTTCTGGGGGGTGAGACCCGGGGCAGGGCAGTGAGGAGGCTCGGCCTCCCAGACCGGGCCCCGCCCTGGTCACCTGACTCCCGGCCCCGCCCCATGGCCTCTGGGTACCTCCACCAGCATCTTGAGGCGGGTGATCCTCTGAAAGGGCAGGATGAGGAAGGAGGTAAGGGGCAGCCGCTGGCACACGGGAGACTCCTCCAGGCGGGCCAGGATGCCAGGGAACTTGGGGTTCTCCAGGCTGGAGCGGGGAGAAAGGTCTGAAGGCCCGGGTGGGCCTGAACTCCCGAGCTCCGGGACTGCGTCACCAGCACCCAGTCCAGCCTCCCCTCCCCCAGGGCCCCGGCCCTACAGCAGGCGCTGGTAGGTGCGCTCCTGGTACGCCTGGTTGGTGACGTAGGGCAGGTAGACGCGGCGGAAGGCCGGGCAGTGGTGCAGCACCGCATCGCAGACGCTGAAGCGCAGCACATCCGCCTCCAGACGCTGCTCCAGGTCCTGCAGGAACCTGGGCAGGGTGGGGGCGGCAGGCCTCAGAGCGAAGGCCTAGAACCCAGATCTGGGGGCCCTGCCCACCACGGGCTTGGTTCCACTGGGCCAGGCCAGACCACCCAGTCACCTCTCGCTGGTGCTCTTGACCTCAGGCAGTTTGGAAAATAGCCACTGCTTGTCCTGCGCCCCCAGACACTCGCTCAGCTCAGCGGAGCCCAGGAAGTGGCCCACAGCCACCGACAGGCTGTGGATGTAGGAGGCCTCGGAGGTGATCAGCTCAAACTTGGCCTGGAGGAGAGTGGATGCGGGGTTCTAGAGGCCCGGCTAGCCCACCTGGACCTTGGCCTTGACCCTCCCGCCCTAAGGCAACCTGTCCCTGCCCTCGCCTAACCCTGACTGACTCCGAACCCCAAGCCCCTACCTCCTGCCAGGGCTACTGCACGCACCCCCAGGGAGCGGCCGCCCCCGCCCCTTTCCTTGCCCAGCCCCGATCTTCCCGAGGGCCTCC